TTTCAACTTCAGCAGGAAATCTTTACAGAGAGGACAGTGGAAGCTCTGGCATGAGGAAAAGAGAGACAAAACAGAACAGAGGAGAGGAAAAAGAGAGTGTGCACCTGAAAGCGTGTTATAAGACAGGAAAGAATAGAAAAAAAGAGTGAGAGGTACAGTTAAAAGCCATGATCTTTGAAAAAAGGGCTGTAAGAGACCAAAAGAAAAGCATATTTTCATCCATGAAAGGCTAGTTGTGAACTGCCAAGGGTGAGCCTTGTGAAATTCAGTCCACACGGCTAGTTCTACTGTCTATCACAATGTGGAGCTTTTATGGGTTATTACTCCTCTGTGCTCTTTTCTACCTCTGTACAGAGGGTTTAAAACATGGTTGAAAGGATGGGAAAGAGAAATTGTGCCAAATTTCAGGGAAAAGCACCAGCATGGTGTTTATTCAAAAGCGCTGCTTCTCATCAGGAGGTGACAGCAGCGGGGTGATAATCTGAGCCGCTGTCGTCACTCATGATAACTGCGGACATGACGAGGAGACAGAAAGAGTCCACGAGAAGCTGTTGTGAGTACATGGGGGAGTTCATGCAGACACTTTTAGACAAAGTGAAAGATTGACTGAGGTGAAATGCAGGTGATGTGGTAAAACAGACAAGAGTTTTAGACAACGCAACAGTGCTAAGCTACATTAAAAATATGTTTTATTTTATATTTAATGCAAAAAAGATTTTCCAAAATCTGGCAAAATGTATGTTTGAATATAGTTTAACACCTTGATTTATAATTCAGTTATTTTCAAGCAAAAAAATATTATATTAATATTAAATAAACAAGACATAAAATATACAAAATAAATAAATAATGAATTAATATTATTAATAATATTAGCATCATTATAAAGATATAATAATAATAATAATAATAATATTGACTGGGTAACACGATTGCCAGTAATAGTAGGTATATGGGAGTAAAAATGTATGTTTGACTTTTTTTTTTTTTTACAGTAACTTTGGTCACATGTTAAATTACAAAAATGAATGATTAAAATTAACCTGAATTTTTACAATTATTACAATTAAAATGACAATAATTAAAATGAATTAAAATGTCACAATTTTCCACAGTAACTGGTCGTGCAATATGTGAAACACTGCAAAACATGTTTTAAGTCAATAAAACATTTACAATAGTTAATATAAAATAATGCAGCATCTTACATATTTAATGATCATATCTAATAGTTCTCGCTCCAAATTTGTGCCTTTACTTCTTCAGAAAAAGTAAAGTAATAAGACACCATATTGTACTCTATCAGTGGACAGTGGCAGATATGAAATATCAAAATATATAATTTTTTATATTTCATACTGTTTATATTTTAATATTTGTTAATTATTAAAATTTGTGTTAATTATTAATATTTTTAACATCCATTTACATATAATTTATATAGATTAATTTAGATTTACTTGCATGCAAGTTGTGTGTGTGTGTGTGTGTGTGTACAGACCCAGGCCTTTGGGTGTGATGCCGCTGGTGTGGTCAGGATTCACAGCCCAGTAATAATACTTCAGTATGTGCATGATCTGCAGCACAGTCCCGACTCGACGGATGGTGTTGTATATGGTTGCCGTGCCAATAAACTCTGCTGAAAGGTACGTGTACAGCGAGAGCTGCACCTGAACAACAGACACACACACACACACACACACACACACACACACACACACACAGTTACAAAAGGTTACAGCTGCCTCAGGTAAGAATACAAAACACTGATGATTACTTTCCATCGTCTGTCTGTTGTTTCTAAACTGCATCCCAAGATCCCTCATTAAAATTCTTTTCTTGTTGGATTTCTATGGGAGCGACACCTCTGGCATGGCAGAACAGCAGATACGGTGAGTATTTTTGGGTGAAGCTGAAAGTCAAAAGGTGTTGTGGTTTGTTTGTGAGCAGTGACGGTGCTGCGGGAAAACCTTGGAGGACAAAAAACGCTGATGAAGGTACACAACTCATCCAATTACAGGCCACTCAAGCAGGCAGACTGGGCTCTCCGGTGAGGACAGCCAGAGATGATGGGAAGGAACGGAGGGAGGATAAAAAACATGATGCAAGTCCATGAACTCTTCTGGCCTGAGGAGAGAACATTGCTGCTGCTGCTTGTGCTGCTCAGTTCATTATCCACAACTACTCTCACACTCCCCACATCTCTCTCCTTCTTTCTTTCACTTCCTCTCTCTCCTTTTCATGTCTCCTCCTGTTTTTCTTCTTTTTTAGCCATGTTTTCCCTTTTTCTCTTTCTTTCATCTAGTCATGCTTTTTCCCCGTTACTTTTATGTTCTTCCCTTTTTCTTTTGAGATTCTCTTACTTTTCCCCTTTTCTGACTTTTGTCCATCCTGCCTTCTTTTTTCCTTCTTTCCTGTTCGTCCTCATTTATTTTCTTTCATTCTTTTTTCCCTTTCTATATGTCTCCCTTTCATCATCCATATATCCATTTTTCCTTTCTGTTTCCCTTTTTTCCCTTTTTATTTGCTTCCTTCTGGCTCCTTTCCTGTTTTGCTTTTTCTTTCTTTCTTTGCAATGCATTCATCTAGCTGTTGATTTTTCTCCTTCCTTCTCTTATCTTCATCACTTTTGCTTGCCTTTCCCTCTTCCCTTTATCTGTTCAGTTATCTTTTTTTTTACTATTTTATTCCCTTCTTTTGTCATTCTCTTACTTTCCCCTTTTCTGATTTTGTCCTTTTTTCTTCCTCACTTTTCTTTCATTTTCTTTTTTCCTTCTATATTTCTTCTTCCTTCCATCATCCATATATCCATTTTTCCTTTCTGCCTCACTTTTGTCCCTACCCTTTCCCTCACTTACTTTCTTTCCTTCCTTCCTTCCTTCCTTCCTTCCTTCCTTCCAATGCAGTCAATGCAGTATATCTTTTATATTTTTTTGCCATTTTTCTTTTTTCCCTTCTTTTGTCATACTCTTATTTTTTCTTTTTACTGTCTTTTCTTCCTTCCTTCCTTCCATTTTTCTTTTATACTTTCTTCTTCCATCCATCATCCATCTATCCATTTGTTCCCTTTTCTTTCTCTGTTCTACTTTTTCTTTTGTTTTTTTCCTTCTCATACTCCCACGGTCCCTCTCCTTCTCTTTTTCTTTTTTCTTCTATCCATCTCTTTAGAGAAAGTGAGAGAGAGAACTGCCACTATCTCTCTCCTTTTGGAGCCATGGCAAGCTTCCAGAGACCAAAGGTTTTTGTTTTGATCCTGTATGTGTTTTCGTATCTCCTTTATTTATTCATGACAGTCAGCAGCCGTGCAGAAACTGAATTGAGCAACACATATTAGCAGCACAGAGTCTGGCCTCTTTAGAAACGCCTCGTCCTCTCCTTCATGGGTCATAAGGCATGGTCGAATTTCCAAAACTAATTTTTTCAAAGCTTGAACTTCACTCTACATCTGTGACAATACTGCAAACGCTCACAAAACACTGCTTTGTAAATCTTTTTAAAGAAAACTATCACTTTTCATCAAGGCTGTGATTTTCTGGCAGGTTCTAAACAAGGTGAATGAGGTGACAGACTGTGAAGCTGTTATCGTCAAAACAAATCTGATGAAAAAGAAGCAGTTTAGAAGCAGTGAACAATTTCAGTAAAAAGCTTTTCTTGAACAAAGAAGTGTCTGCTTTTTAGATGACACCAAACAAACCTCATTAACCAAGAGAGATGGATATTAAAGTCGATATAAAAAGGTGTTTATAACCCATTTTGCTTCTTTATTTTCAAATGAAAGAAGACATTCAATGAGATTCAATGTATTGAACATAATGTTCAATTAAAAGAATAGGATGGGACTTGATTTTATGCATCAGGAACTGATTAGGGAATAAAAAAACAAGTTGAGGGCAAGGACTGCTTTAAATCTGTAGAGCAAGCTGACCGTAATTTGTTGTTCTGATGTGAACACTAAAGAGTTAACTCTCTGCCTCATGTTCACTTCAGCAAATATCACCCTGTGCTCATCTGACCAGGTCACTACGGTCTCATGACACCAGTGCCAATCACAGTGTACTCAGATGCTCCTAATTGCTGTCATGTTTCATTGTGACGTACCTGAGTATCTTCTGGAAAAGACATGACCTTGCTCACCTTCGCAGGTATGTGGATCCAAATAGCCGCGTTGAACAGAATATGGTCACAGAGTTGTTTGAGAAGAGGTGCACCGTGGGTAAGGCCGTTCAGGTATTTGGCGAAAGCGAGGAACTGCTCCAGAACGGCTCTGGTGACGTGCGTCCGTGATGCCTGAGAAACAATTATGAGATTTTTGTTTACCAAACCAACCTCTGATTCTCAGTATCTTTATAAAATAAATATCAAACCAACATCTGAAGCCTGAAGGCACCGTTTGACTTTGCAGCTAAACAAAGACTTTAACTGTGTAGAAACTTTGTGTGTTATTAGTCTCAGCTGGCACCTGAGGTCCAGACAGGTGCGTGGTGTGAGACAGGAGTGAGTATAAACGAGACACAAACAGATGGCCGGCTACGTGTGAATGGGACGCAAGGCAGCGGGATCATTCAGGTGCCATCTAGCACAGATTTATAGCTGCTGCTGTTAAATGACAAAGTGAGTCTTTTACTCAAGCGCCAACTTTAGATGGAGCCAAGGGTATATTGAGACTATGAAATAAGGACAGCTATGAATAAGCAAAGATATCGAGAAGAAAAAAGAAAAATGACAGTGGGTTAATTTGTATGTCATTGCAATAAACCCATGGACAAGGAGGAATATAATAGTGCCGTTGAACCGGCATTCACTGTGGAAATGCTTAAGTGTGCATTTGTCATTCATCAACCATAATGCACCATTTCTCCTCTGTCCTAGCAATCGAATTGGGTGCGTGTTTTTTAAATTCAGCTCGTGCTTACAAAAGCGTGAGTCAATCAAGGTCATGACAACTCCAGAAAGTACAAATCTTAATACTCTTAAAATGTTTAAAGAAAGGAGCAAGTGCTTGTGAGCTTCATGACTTGAGTAAAAGCACAATTTGTCCATTACACATCAAAATTCCTTGACGTTTCACAGTTTATGGTGTTATTCAAATTAATGCACAACTATTAGACATTTGTAAGCTGATTTTCCCAAAGAGTGTAAACAATGTGTTGTTTTAAACATTCTTCTGTTTAATTGAGTGGCACGACATAATAGCAATGGCCCAACCAATGTTTCTACAATTTTGTCTGAACAATGGTTTGGGAAAACCTATTTGGAAAACGTTATTTTTGCAATTCCGTTTGGTGCTGCTAACAGCATGAAAATTACACACTTTAGCTTTAACCAGTCTAAATTGTATGTTGGAATAAGAAAAACAAAAGACAACAGTGGCATCACCTTTTCCAGCAGGTACCCAATCACCAGGAAACCCTTCCCACCAAGCATCTGCTCTTGCATTGCCACTGAACTCTTGAGTAGCTCGAACAGGAAGGCCAGGAGAGTGGAACTGCACAGAAAACATCTCATTACACTAAACTGGGTAACCACTGCAGAATCAAGATAAAATACTTGCTGACCAAATATTAATGGAACGAATGGTAAGAACATCCAGCACTTGATATATCGCTTATGTTATTGGTTAATATTTTTTTTTCTCCCATTTACTGTATCTCAATCGGCTAAAATTGAATATTTAATTGTGAGTGCTTAGTTCATATATTTTTACATTTAGATTACCTTTGTCGTCATCCAAATCTCACCTAAAGTTAATGTTTAAAAACACTAATATTTACTAACACCGTTAAATGTAATCTTTAACAAATCTCAAAATTAACATTCATTTGTATTGTGATGCCTAAATTCACTTGTAGCATTTAAAATGACTGATTTTTATTTTTACTGGTTATATTTTATTTATTTTGATAAAATAGTACAGAGTTTTAATATCTGTCTTACTAGTTAAAAGAAAATAATTAATATTACTCACTACTATTCAAAAGTTTGGGGTCTGTAAGATTTTTTTTTTTTTTTCATGTTTTTGAAACTTTAAAACATATCAAGGCTGGGACCAAAAATACAGTAAAAACAGAAATGATGTTAAATACTATTTTTATATATAATTATAATAATATAATATAATATAATAAACAGATATGCTGCTTAATATTTTTAAATAGTGGGAACTTTGAATATTTTAATTTTTAAATTAAAATTTAAAGATTTTTTGACCAGTAGATAAGTCAAAAGAACAGCTTTTATTTGAAATCAAACTTTTTTGTAACATTATAAATGTATTTATTGTCACTTTTAATCAATTTAATGCATCCTTGCGGAGTAAACATTAATTTCATTCAAAAGGTGGAAATTGTGTTACTTACCACACTGTGGTCTCCACTTGGCTTTCACTGTGCTGATGGAAATCCAGCTGTGCAAAGAGAGGAAACAGCACCTGGATACCGCCAATGGAGTGAATGGCACTGTGAATGGAGTGTGTAACGATGGCCTTCACGTCCTATATAGAAACAGAAGGAAAAAATCTAATGGATTAAAAAGTAGTGGTAGACATATTCAGTAATTACCTTTTAGCCATTTTAAAAGTACTTACTCACATTAACCACTGACTAATCTCAGCGGAAATGTGTTCCTCCAAACAATTAACATTGAATGGCAAACACTGACATTATCTTGTGGAGTTAGCTAAACAATGCAGCATCTGATTAACATTTAGTGACATTACCAACCATTATGTGGTTTATTTAGGATTAAGAGAGTAGAACGCAGTCTCTAAGCATTAAGCAGACATTTACCTGTAGCATTAGAGCGTGAGGCGAATGCACGAATATGGACGGGTTTTCTCTGGGTGAGGACTCCAGGCAGAGCTGAGCGTCTGTGGCTTTGGCATTGTAAGTGCAGGAAATGCTGTTTGCTAACTTCCCATCATACAACACTTGCTTATGGTGGTCAGCCAGGTGGATATCGCTCTCTGATTTAAATTTAAAGGTGCTCTAGGGAGGTAAGAAAGTTAAAAAGATGGATTCAAAAGAGAAATATAGACCAACAGAGAAAATCTGGTCTAAATTTGCCTCTAAAAGGTGCATAATAAAAGTGAGACATGTCAAGTGAGAGAATTAACTAAGGAGCGAATTATCACAAAATATGACAATGTAAATTTAACACATCTTAAAATAGTACGTCTATGTAAATCTTATTATTCCATGCACTTATTAAAGGATTTACTATTCCTAGCATGAAAAGGAGAAGATTCTTTTTATGCAGTGATTAAATCTTATCCAAAGTTGTGGGAGCGCGATGAATAATAAATGAGCTCGGTGACATGAAATAATCATGAAGATGAAGTAGGGGCGGATGTGGGAATCCCCCCGCTGAATTATCATTCATGAGGTTGTTTCGTGTGCTGTCAAATCAAAGGCCTGCAGCCCAACACCTGCAGCACATCCCAGGTGATGATGTCATCCAGATGTGACCTGCTCCAGACTAGTGTTGCTTTCGTCAACGAAAATTATGACTAAATATTGACTAAAACTAATAAAAACTAAAATGACAGCTTCACACAAAGACTAGACTAAAACTAAAATTAAAACAGGCCGCCAAAAACAACACTACTCCAGACGTGTGCTAACTGTGTAAATGTGCGGCAAGCAGACAATGATAACAAGGCATTTTTAGAAAATCAGCTGCCTTTTTATCAACAAACATGTGCTTGATAACACTATCAAGAAACATTGCTTATAGTTTGTCATGTGACCAGGTAACATATACTATATATGCACTTATCAGCACGTCTGGATGTCATTCTATGCAAAATTATGGGCAGCAAACTTTCTTTCCCCCACAGATACACATAAAAACACAGGCTATGTTCTAAATCTAAATCTTTCTAATATGCTGATTTGCTGCTGAAGGAATACTTCATATTATTATCAATGCTAAATATTTTTTGTGGAATTGGTCAAACCTTTTTTTCAGGATTAGAAAATATAAAAGAACAGCATTTATTGCAAACAGAAATCTTTTATAACACTATATATGTCTTTGCTGTCACTTTTAATCAATTTAATGCATCCTTGCTGAATAAAAGTATTAATTTTGTTTTTGAAAATTCTGAATGGTATTTCATATTATTAATTAATAAATAAGATTTCAAATTAATAGGCTGTTCAAAATTTAATATTAGTGCGTTACATACGGCATACTGTGGAGTATGTTATATTTCTTGCTATATTTGTTTGAAATGACACAAAATTCAACAATAAATACCTCAAATAGTTCCGCACTACTTTTTGTTCTCACATGGTATATTTGCAAACAATTAATTAATTATTTCAGTAAATATAAACTAGGTGCATGTTTTATTAACTTTATGTAAAACTTCCCTAAATCTAACTTAAACAAAGAGTAAAAAATGAGGTGTTAACAAATGCTGATTTTATTTCCAATTCTGAAAAGACACGAACCTCAGTTGCATTCAGAACCTAACTACCTGTCCCTTTATATTCATATTTCATTATCCATGCACTAACTATTCACAAGTGTCTTTTTAAAGATGTAGGAGGGTGTTTGTAATTAACTTGTTGTCGTTAAATATGTTATTATTATGTGAATATGGTTTCTAAGGCAATAAACTTTTTATTTAAATTATAAATTAAAATAATAAACTTGATCAAATTTCCATATTTTTCTTTTCACAATCTGTGAGCAAATAAATACATCATTATATGCAAACAAGTATATCTGTTATCTGTTGCTTATGTTAGCTTTAGTGATATCTTTATTATTTTCAAAATGGAGAAGAGAGTGAGAAAAAGAAACATACCAGATTTGATTATCTGTATGCTTATTTTGACCTAAAAACATTCATGTTGTTTGGTTTACTCTGCTGAACAGAGATAGCGTAAATGTCACCTGTTGCTGGTCAAGTTGCTGCTGCAAACATATGATACAGCACAAAGCAAATCTCAAAATCCATCAGATTGACTGGAAAATAAATACCACAGCATGTTAATGGATGCTGACAGTTTTGCAAAAAAGCTAAAAGCACACCATCAGACGAAAATAAACCTGACAGAATGCCGGCGTAACGTCACTTTTGGCAGAAACTGATGATGTAATGCTCACGTTATCTCATAGTGAGACTTCGCAGTAGCAGTAGTGCATCTGTCTTCCATGACAACAGGGAGAAGGAAAAAGACAGGGACTAGTACCACTAAATCCAATATGAAATACAAAACATACATACATATAAATGTTCTTTTTAACGTTAGACTCCCCACAGAATCCTGAAAATTCTGGAAAAAATGTTTCATGATTTCCACAAGAGCTCCAAATCAGCATATTAGAATGATTTCTGAAGGATCATGTGACACTGAAAACTGTTAATCTGAGACCAAACCTGTTCATGGTTCAGTTAAGACAAGACCTTAAGTAAGGGGTCTGATTGGGGTTCAGTGTTTCTTGGCAGCTGCAACATAGACTGCCTTTTCTGTTGAGTCAAGGCGGTAATCAGGTCATCTTCAGATCAGTCACATAAATCACAGGAGACTGTCCTTGTCCGGGAAGGTACTCTGCTAAAAGGCTAAGAAGACTATGAGGACCTATGGAACACACTACAGTCAACAGAACAAATAATGCTGTCAGTGGTTGTTGAGGGCAGGAAACAGAAGTCACTAAAGACAAGGGTAGAAAACTGTGGGGAAAAATATTACTTATAATAGTTATTTCAACTAACATGACTGAAGAAAAATGAAATCAAGCCAAAGCACAGTAAAAAAAAAAAACAACAACGCCAAATAAAGCAAAGCAAAACAGAGGAACAATCTATGTAAAAGTTATTTCAACTAACATGACTTGAGAACTACAAAACCAAGCCCAAACAAAGTAAAAACAAAAACACAAAGCAAAGCAAAACAAAACACAAACAAATGAAAATAATAAATAAAATAAAATAAAATAAAACAAAGCAAAGCAAAGTAAAACAAAGTAAAATAAAATGAATTAAAGTAACAAAGTAAAGTAAAGCAAAGTAAAGTAAAATAAAAGACCTCACTGGCATCGAGAGTAATTCTTTACGGAATTAAGTGGGACGTAATGTACACCCCTTAAATTCTTTTTGACTGTTCCAGCTCTATACCATTTTCTTTACTGAACTGAAAAATGACTTTAACCACAATTATTTTTATAGGTTTTACCCCTGGAAAATAATATAGAGCTGGAACAGTAGAAATAATGTCAAGCACA